AGATCATTAGAGAAAAAGGTGATATATTTATCCAGTTGTGTTAAAAATTAAAAATTGCTAATGACAGGAGACAGAATGAAAAGAAAAATTCAAACTAGGAGAAGATATTTACGATGCACACAATAGACAAAGGATTATCTCTATAATATGCAAAGAACTCCTACAAAGCAATAAGAAAAGCACAAATGTCCAAATAGAAAAATGAGCAAAGGATATGAATGGGCAACTTATGGTGAAGGAAATTCAAAAGCCAATAAACATACAAAGAAGTATGTAACTTCACAAGCAACCAGGGAAATGTAAATTATATCCCGAGAGATACTATGTCATAGCCACCATAACAGCTAAAGTTAAGAAGGCCAACAGTACCAGGTATTGGTGATAATGTAGAATAAAGAGAACATCATACACTGCTTGGTGGGAGGGTAAACTGGTAGAATCACTTTGAAAAACAATGTGTCTATATTGATGATGGTCGAACATGCACATACCCTAGGACCCAGCTATTCTACTCTTAGGTATATAACCTGCCCAGAGATAACCTTGTTAACATGTAGGTGTGTATTTCTTCAGATTTATTTTCTTTGCATTTAATAACTAGTGTTCTTAGCTGCAGACAAGAAGGGTTAACTCTGACTAAATTTAGCAGAAAAAGATATTTCATGGAAGGAATACAAATAGCTTACAGAATCGATAGAAAGTAAATCACACTTGAAAAATGGATAGGATTAATGAGAAGGCAAGACCAAATGACAAGAACCAAGGACCTCTCATTGCCACACTGCTCAATGTTCAGTGTTATGGTCAGTGGACTCCACTGCACTCTGCTCCTTTGCATCAGTTCCTTAAGAATGAAACTTCTCTGTGGAGACATCTGATTGGCTGAGCCTATGATGTCACATCTCTCTCAATTGGCTGCCAAGGAGTTAGGAAAGGAAATACCTGTCCGTTTCAGGCTCTCACCAAAGGCAATGGAACCAACTCCTACCTATCCTGGGATTCTCTTCAAATTAGAATGATATTCAGATAGTGAGTAGCTAAAACAATACATGTCCACTATAATGAATATTCTCTCTTCCTCCCTCTCAAACACACACACCCACACTCACATACTTTACTTAAACTATAATAGGCTCATATCATACATACTGTTAGGCAAATTGCATTTTACACTTAATATACCTTTGACATCTTTCCTTGTTATTCCATATAGATCTATCTCATTTTTCTTAAGGGTTATACAGTATTTAATTGTACAAAAGGATTATAATTTTAAAAAATAATTTATTGGGATGAAATTCACATACTGTAAAATTAGCCATTTTAATGTGAACAATTTAGTGGCATTTAGTAAGTACATTCACAATATTGTACAACTACCACCTCTATCCCCAGTTTTGAAACATTTCTGGACTATAATTTTTTAAACTAATTTCTTACCAAGGGACATTTGGGTTGTTTCCTCCAATATTTGGGATATTATAGACAATATCCCAGTGAACCTTATTGTACATAAATCTTCTGAAAACTTGAATAAGTGATTCAAGTTCTTAAAAGCTCAAAGATCATCTTCATTGAAAATTATAATAAATACTACAAAACTGGTATTCAAAAGGTTGTAAAATTTACACTGGGAATAGTAATTGGAAACCATTTCTTATTTTCACCTTACTATTATCCATATTTTTAGCCTTTGCCAATTTGAAACGGAAAAAAGTGAATTGCTTTAATAGCATTTTTAAGCTTTTTGAGCTAACAGCCATTTATATTTCTTTCATTTATATTTCTTTGCCCATTATCTATTCCCAGGATCTGTTTTTTATAAAGGGAGTAAACATTTTAGGCTTTGTGGGCCATATGGTCTCTTTTGCAGCTACTTATCTTTGCTATTGTAGTGTAAAGGCAGCCACAGATAATACATAAATAAATGGGCAGGGCTGGGTTACAATAAAACTTTATTTACAAAAAGAGGTAGTGGGCCAATTTTGGCCCACTGGCTATAGTTTGCAGACTCCAGATCTATTATGTTGTAATTGCTGTTTTTAGTATATAAGAGATCTTTGCATACTGTAATAGGAATGTTATGGGCTATCTGCTCCAGTCAATTGATGTATATGACCAAACTCTTAATAACTATAGCTTTTTGAAATGTTTTCATATTCAACACAACTATCTTCAGTTTGCTTAAATGGTAAATTTTTGCCAAAACACAATACCTAGAAGTGTCAAGTACAGTTACATATTGACACCTTCAAGTTAAAATTCAACTTTAATAATGTAACACTACAGTGAGTTCTAGTGTCACAATGATAAAAGGGGCCTTGCTTTTGCTTCCAATTTGTTTCCATGTGAAATTTAAACTCAATTACCTGGTATTTAAGGCCTCTGAAATCTAATCCCAGGCTTTCTTTCCTGTGTTATTCTGCCAGTCCCTGAACTGAAGCCACATCAAGCTATTTGCCATTCACCAATAAGACCCCACACTCCTCACTTTTCCTTCTTTGTTCCCTTACTTCTGTTACCTGGAATATTCTGCCCTCAGTGTTCACCAACTGATTTCTACCCAATTTTTAAGACTACTTGAATTTAAAGGAGGTCAATTCTTTGAATCCTAGAATAGAATCTTTTCTCCTAAACTTTCATAAAGGTTTCCCTCTTTTCTTTTCTGAGAGTTAGTATAGCTTTTTTACGTAAACGTTTTTCACTGAAGATAAAATACAGAAAACTCAATAACTTTTTACCAAGTAAACACACCCAGATCAAGAAGTAGAACATTAATTACCACAACCCAGATGTCTCTGATGTGCATTTTCCCAGTCTATATCTCCCAAAAGGTAGTCACTGTTCTGACTTCTATTCCTGTAGATTAATTTCCCTCATTTTAGAACTTCATATGAATAGAATAAAACAATATGTACTCTTTTGTGTCTGGATTTTTCCATTCAACATTATGTTTGTGAGATCCATGCATGTTGCTGTATATAGTAATAGTTCATTCTTTTAATTGCTGCAGAGTAGTCTATTGTATGAATACTATATACTACACTTGATTTGTCCTTTGTACTTTCTACAGACATTTTGGTTGTTTCTAATTTTTAGCTATTATAAATAATGCCATTATAAATATTCCTATACATGTTTTTTGTATATATTTCTGATGCATATATGATATAGCATTTGGAGGATACATCAAAAATCCTTAGAATGTACTTAGAATTTATCCTAAGGAAAAAAGTTAAAGAGCTAAAATATTTAGCTATGTAGATGTTCCTTGTAGAATTTTAAAATAAATGCAAAAAAATGGAAATTATGGTAAATTCTTACTAACGGGGCATTATTTAAATAAATTATGGCACATCTATGCAATAGAATATTAAATATTACAACTATGGCATAGAGTATATGTTTTTATTTTATTATTTCTTTTTTAGAGATAGGGTTATTTTATTATTTCTTATATTTATCTCAAGGGAAAGAGTTACATGGCATACTGTTAAGTGAAAAGTCTGGTTATAAGAGAATATATACAGCATGAATCCACTTTTATTTTTAAAAAACATATTTATATGTATGTAAGTATATATTCAAACACAGCACACCAAAAATTTAACAATATCTTTTAAAAAATGTAATGATGGCCGATTTTTCTTTTGGTTTTACTATATTTTTTCAGTTTTCTAAACTCTTCTTAAGCATGGTTATGAATTTATCCCTGTATTCTCAGCCCATAGCATGCTATTTGGCATATAGTGGTTCTAAATAAATGTGTATTTGACTATATGAAAGAATATAAATTATCACAAAGCCAACAAGGTAAAAACAATTTGATCAATTTGGGCCATTTTAAAAGGCAAAGAATTAGAATTGCCATGGAAGACATCAAGATGTAATTTATCGTTTATTTGCCCTTAGAACTCTTCAAAACAGCATGAATTCAGTTGCAGAACTCTATGTGTGCAGCTCTACACTGGCTCAACAGTGACTCTTTGCAACTCATGGCAGGCCACGCAATTCCTTTGCCAATGATCTTGTAACCAGCTCTAACGGTGGCTGATATCTCAGATGTAAAGTGCCCACTTTCTGTCAAGGACTGTTAAAGTATTAATAAAAGGAAGAGTCAAGAGCCGAGTCCTAGAATGAATGTGCTTAAAACTTTAAGTAGTCAGTGATTGTTTTGCTTCTACATTACTACAATTTTAAAGCTTTCAGGCATTGCATCACATTTTTTAAAAAGTTTGCTTTTTCTATTTTTCTCATCCTTCAAAAAAAAAAAAAAAACCAAAAACAAAAGCAAAAAAGCCAAGATAAACAAATCTCCAGCATTTTTCCCCCTTAACGTTGAAAACAATAGGCAGTCACAAGATTTGAGCAGAGCGACCTGGCCCCTCCTCTGATCAAAACATCTCTCCCCTTAGGTCCCCCTGGCGTCCCCTTCTCCTCCAGTCCTGGTCTGACACCCTCATCATTTAGAATCCTTCCTTCGCTTAGAGAACCAAGATCATCCTCTAAAGCGGTTGTTCAAACACACGTTCCCTTCTTAACCCTTTCTCATTCGTACATCAGCTGGGATTTCAGAAGATTTATTATTAATAATTGGTCCCAGGTGCCAATGCAGACAGCATCTGGCGGTTACGGAGGGGCCAAGGGCTTTGCGGGATGCACGGGGCTCACAGCCAGGGAGGGATGACCTAGCGGGAGAAGGGCTACAAACATTTTTACTCAGCCGTCCGGTCCGGGGAGGAGGCATTTGGTCTCTTTTAGGTGCTGACGCTTGTCTGAGCTGGTAAAATCCATCCCACTGCCTGAGGGAGGAAGTGACTCTCCAAGGCCTTGGGGAGGGAGAGGCTGTGCTGGTCGCTCTGTGCTTGGCCCCCGGCCAGAGCTGTTACCATTGTCCCACACTGCCTTTCAGGTGCCAGCCGGTGTCTCACTGTCCCTGTTTGCACTGCACGACCTGGGGGTTCCTAAACCAGCCAGCCCAGAAATGCTTGAGGTCTCACCATTGAAGCCGATCACGGCGTCAAGTTCCAGTTCGGCCACCTGGGCCTCGGGCGAAATTTGGTTATCCATCCTTGCGAGACTCGGCTCCCTCGCCTCTCAGAGCGGGAGACCGCGTCTGCTGGTCGCTATGGTAACGCCCTGCGCATGCGTGCCAGATCCACTCCTGCACAGAAACCCCGCGAACGGAGCTTGAGTTTGTTTGCACTCTTGCAAAGGAGAGGAGGACTGCATTTTGCTGTTTCTCTGGAAATCTAGGGGATGGCACGAAATGCACAGAACTATTAATAATTCTTCCATCCCCTCTTCCAATGAGTCTGTGACTTTTTGGTAACTATCTAATCAAGCACCTAATGAATGGCATTTTAAATATACGTAATCAAGCACGAAGGAAGGGTTGGTAGGAAGGCTGCTATAAAATAATGTACAATTGATACTTATTTGGGCCCCTGTTTGAAGCAGTATAACAAAATCTTAAAGATTTTTAAAAAGGTTTATTGAGGTATAATTTACATATCATAAAATTCACTTAAAGCGAGTTTTAGTAAGTTTATAAACTTAGTAAGTGTGCAACTATGACCGCGATCGAGTTTGTTCGTTTCGTTTTGTTTTGTTTTTGAAGCAGGATAAAATTTTAGGTAACTGCTAGAGGGAGGTCTTGCAGCGCTCTCAGCTTACTGGGAAAATACTTAGATTCTATTCTACAACGATTTTATTTTAATTGCACCCATCAGTTCGCGTCTCCTAGTTGGAGCAGATTGCTCCCATCTACCGTCCCCCAAAGGAGCACTTTCCTTCATCTGTCATGGTTCTTAGGCCCCAATTATTCACTTTGCAAACTCTAGGCCCGGGTCGCGCACGGGCCTAACTGCGGGGAGTGAGCCGCGCGGGCCGCCGTAGTCAGCTGCTGCGAGCAGGAAGTGTCCGAGTATCGGGCGGCGTCTGCACGATGGCACCGGACCCCTGGTGAGCCGCGGGTGAGGGCGGCAGAGTACGGAGGGACCTTCGGGGAGCCTGGGCTTCCGGGGAGCGGGCGATCCCTTAGCATTGCCGCTGGGGGCCTTTCGAGATGAGGGGAGGGGCAGCGCGACCCTTCCTTGCTGAGGGGAATTTAGCCACATCCCGCCACCCTTGGTCCTTGCCGGGGTGGCCCGGGAAGGAGACTGGGTGGACTGCTGGGGAGCTGAGGACTTGAGCCGAATCTCTGAATATTCCTGGGCTCCGTCTCGCCGGGGGCATTTCCCGCCCATCCTGATTGTGGAGCTGCTGGTGCAGGCTTCCCTGGACTCGTGTAAAAGTGAAGTAGAGATAACCTTTTTGTGGAATGTCAGTCCATCCGGTCAACCCCCTTATTTCGCAGATGGAAAAACTGAGGTTCAGAATCCATGGTCACCAACCAGTTAGTAACCATTTGGGGCTAGACCTCGATCTTGTGGGCCCTTCAAAACACTTGTAGGAATATGAGAGGGAAATTATGCACTTGTTTATAAGGCATTTCACCCTTTCTTGAGTTAATATGAGGACTCTTTCTTTAGCAGAAACTTCTCTAGTAAAACAGTACCTGATAAGGGTCATTATCAGCAATTAAGTCCCGAGGACTGAATGATGAAAGATGAGTTCTTATCCCAAGAAACATAATGCTGTAAGACTTGACCTTTCTGTTTAATAACTTAAAACATAGCTCTATAAAGCTCTTATTGGAGTATGTGTCTTATGTTGGTATTTCTAATATAGTTGATAATTATTTAAGTTGCTGACAGCCTAGATGTTAGAAGAATGGGTTTCAAGATCAAAGTCAGATTTACCTGAAATCCGGGTTATTTAGCCAGTTGCTTAATTTAATGCTGACTTTTTTTTCTGCCTAATTTTAAGAGTTGTATACATCTCCTGATAGAAAATTTAGGGAATATTGAATATTTGCTGAGAAGAAAATAAATAGCATCTTTAACTTCATCATTTGGAAAATAGCCATTACTGATTTTTTACAATGGATTTATTGCTTTAATCTGTATTTTATATATATTTATTCACAAAACAGGGAGCATTTCTCCATGTCATTGAACATTCTTTGAAAACATAATTTTCTTACGTGGTATAGTAGTGCACCATATGAATGACCATAATTTTATTTTTATTTTTCTCTTCTGTATTAGATTTTTGTTTGTTTTGATGTTTTTGTTTTTGTTTTTACTATTGCAAAAGCAGTCCCTTTGTTCCATCTCTTATTTCCTAGGGATCCATTCCTAGAAGTAAAACTGTTTGGTTCAAGGGTATGAACATTTTTAAGGCCTTTGATACATACTCCTATTCCTAAATTGCCCTCCACCTCTTGGAACCTAACTCCCTCAATATGCACAAAAAGTAGGAAATAAAGCTCAGAGATAAGGACCGGTTATCCATTTAGATTGGTGGAAGCTATCACTGGACTCCAAGCCTCTTCCACAGTTAATGTTTACAAAGCCTTTGTACCTTTTTCTGTTACTCTCAATTAGTTTGACTAAACGGCTTTCTCGTTAGACTGTTGAAAGTGAAACAGTGGGGGGACTCTGCTGTATTCCCATTAGCTACCTTACAAAGTGGGTTGCTGATTAGGAGGGTAAAAAGGAGTATGGGATGGGATTTTGAAAAACCTGTAAGAACAGATTGGAGTACAGCTTTGCCTTTGTACCGCTGAAACTCATAGGTCACTGATGCCTCCCTCCTGGGTTGTGTTCTGATGTTTAGGACTGGAATATAGTAGTTACTATTTTAATGGCCTATCAAAGCAAGCGATGAGCTCATTGTTTAATAGAAGTAACAAGTGATTACTTTACTGTCCACTCCCTACTGTCTGAATAAGAGGCCTGCTTTAACCTCATGGTCAGCCCAATATGTCACCTCATGGTTACACCCCACATTTGGCAGAAGGGCTAGCATACTATATTTATTGATTGTCATATATATGGGCTGGGGACCGCAGTGCCAGACCTCAGCTCCTCTTTTCACAGAGGAAAAAAGGTAAAATGTGGCGAAGCTGGATCTAGGACCCAATTTTCCTTAATAGCCTCCTATTTTCTTGATTCTATGTTGTCTTTTATCACCTGCTTTTTCCATACACACATATACATGAATATATATATGAATGATGGATATATGATATATATGAATATATGTATATGATATATACATGAATGGTACTACTTTGGAGTATAGTGGTTGGTGGTTCAGGATCCTTCTTCATAGGATCCTAATAAAGTTTACAATGTGAAGCTCTTAGCAAGGAACCTGGCACAGGTCAGGTACTGGGCTGCTAGCTGTTGCTATAATTATTATAGTAGATTCCTAAGGAAGTGATTGGAGCATTTTACTTCATTCAGAAAAACACTTATCAAGTTCCCTCAGTGTACAAGTGATACGTGGGAGTTAGAAGATTTTTAAAAATGTATTGTTTATTTACTTAAGCAAACATTGGGGCATTAGGACCAACAGTGATTTTCAGTATTTTGTAATGGACAGTCCTGGAAAATGTTGGTCTGGTACAGCAGAGTCCCTGCTTTTTAGGAGCAGACTGTCTAGTAGGAGAAATGAAATGAGTATGCATGTTTAAGTATTTTCTGCAAAACAGAAAGAAGGTAAAAATGCTGTGAGAGAAGGAAAACATAAGGGGCTATTGTGAGTTCATGGTGAATCCTTCAAAGCCATGAGAGATAAGTAGAAACTCAATAAATGTTTTGAGAGAATTCTGGCAAGCTTAGATGTCGGGATGCTGTGTGTCCTTTGTCCCCAGAGCTCTCCCCCAGGTACTTGCATGGCTAGCTTCTTCACCTTGCCTCAGTGTCCCCTGATCCTTAATGGCATCCCTGCACCACTCTCTGTCCCTTTATCCTGCTTCGCTTCTCTTCTTAGCACATAGCAACACCTGATATACTATGTATTTATTTGTTTTTTGCCTTTCTTTCTTCAATAAAATGTGAGCTCCTTGAAAGCAGGACCCTTTGTCCATTTTATTCCCTGCTGTATTCTCCAGTGACTGGAACAGTGCTTAGCACAGGGGGTCTTCCAAATGCTTTATCACTGGCAGAAGAGCAAAGTGGTTAAGAGCCCAAGCTCTGGAGCCAGACAGCTTTGGTTTGCAGCTGGCAGTACCACTTGGGCAAATCACTTTACCTCTTCGTGCCTCATTTTCTGATGTGTGAGGTGGAGACAGTAAGGGTACCCACCTCAAAGCATCCTCGTGTGGATTAACTGAGTTATTACAAATGAAGCATTCAGAATAGTGCCTAGCACATAGTAAGTACAGTTCAACCCACATTGCTATTACTGGTGCTGTTATTATCTTCCCTTCCTGTTTGAATTTGTGACTAGAAGAAAAAACTTAGACAATGCAGTCATTTTTTTAAACAACCTTAGACATTTTTCTCTTTTTATTACTTTGTTGCAGGTTCTCCACATATGATTCTACTTGTCAAATTGCCCAGGAGATTGCTGAGAAAATTCAACAACGAAACCAGTATGAAAGAAAAGGTGAAAAGACAACCAAGGTAATACTAGGAGAGACTTAGTACTTAAAATGATTTGTTTGAGCGTGGAGGTCTGAAAACGTTCATATATCTAAGACTCTATGTGCATGTGTGTAGGGTTCTATCTGCTTACATATGTTGAATTGATATTACAACCAACCAGTTAGTAGTTATTTAATCATTGATACTAAATGAAGCATAACATATATTTAATTTCTCCTGTTTTACCTTAAACATTTCTGACAGTTTTATAGTCTAGTTCAAGGGTTAGTAAGCTTCCTCCAGATAGTAAATCTTTTAGGCTTCGCAGACCAAGAGACAGTGTCTTCAATTCTTTTGAATATCCACTCTCACCAAAAGGATAATAGTGTTTTTTATATTTTATACTTAAAAATGTAAAAACCATCTTTAGGTGTGGGCTGTACAAAAACAACAGTGGGATTTGGCTAGGAAATATATTTTTATGAAATCTCTAGTTCATACTGATGCTTTTGATTCAAATCCAACACCACAGGTTTCTTCCTTACCTTCCCCATTCCAAATTTGTATTTTCTTTCTCCCACCTTGAGAACT